GAGTAGGAGCTGTTCCTGGCTCTGTCTGAACTTGGGGATTTTTATTTTGTTTTAGCTTTCATTGTATTTGTTCCAAGGCTTTGGGTAATTTCTTTTTAAACATGCACTGATCTCTATTTAGCTGAAGACCAGAGGGATACTCAGCAGATCTCTAGAGAACTCTCTGTGTGCAGCTCTTTCCTTTCTGGTACTCTTTTTGTGAACTCTGGCTATGTGGCCTCTCTGGATGCCCAACTATGTCACTTTAACTCAGAGATACTGCTGGAGCTCCCATGCTGTGGTTTAGAAACTCTCTAGTAATGAAGGTGAGCCCTATGATTGCAGTAGGGCAATCACAAGGTTTACTTTGTTTCCGTTCTCTGAAGGATCACTATCTTATGTTACTTAATGTCTTATGTCTGAAAAATGTTATTTTCTATATTCTGTCTTTTTTTTTTTTTTCACTGCTTCAAATAAGAGGCTTTGTTCCCTGTTACTCCATCTTGCCTAGAAGTGAAAATCTCTCACATACTTGGAAGTTCACTGTTTAAATTATTATAGAAATTAGATGACTAGAAATATTTGGATCACACGTAAATAAGCTCAAAGTAAAAACATGATAAATTTGGTTATGTTGATTTGGGGTGCTCGGAACTTTTTTTAAAAAACTATATTACATTTACACAGTGAACTCTAGAGAGTTTCTGCTATAAGAAAACACCTTAATACCATAAACTAGGTAGCTTATAAAAAATAGAAGTTTCAGCCGGGCACTGTGGCTTACGCCTATAATCTCAGCACTTTGGGAGGCCAAGGTGGGCGGACCATGAGACCAGGATATCAAGACCATCCTGGCCAACATGGTGAAACCTCGTCTCTACTAAAAATACAAGAATTAGCCGGGCGTGGTGGTCCCAGGCTGAGGCAGGTGAATTGTTTGAACCTGGGAGGTGGAGGCTGCAGTGAGCCGAGATTGTGCTACTGCATTCCAGCCTGAGTGACAGAGCAAGACCCTGTCTCAAAATAAATAAACATAAAAAAATAAAAGTTTCTCACAATCCTGAAGGCTGGGAAGTTCAAGATCAAGGAGCTGGGGAATTCATTATCCCATTAAAGGGAGCATTCAAGAGGGCTAATCCTGCTTAAGAGGGTGTCACCCTCATGACCTGATCACCTCCCAAAAGGCCCCACCTCCTAATGGCATCCCAATACTTTAGGGGTGAGATTTCAGACTATGAATTTTGGGAGAATACAGTCATATATGTTAGAACATTTCAGTAATGAAGAATTTAAAACAAAGTCCAAAAGAGAACAGTTATAATTTGGTTGTTACATGTTATTCCAAATACAGCAAGTTTTTCTTTATTTGCATTTTATGTGTTGATAAGCTTTAATCAATAACCAAAGTTATTTTTCTTCAGTTTTGTGTATTTATGATGAGCAAAGAAGTGAGATAAAATAGAACTCAGTTCTGGAGCCCAGAGAATTAGTTATGTTCTCCTATATCTTTCTCATTGAAAACAATGTATTTTGATCATTGGGGTTCTTGAAGATCCTTAAGCGCTTTCTGACTCACTAACTTACACATTTTAGACTGATTATAGAGTCATGGTTCTTTGAAAATGGGAAGTTCCCATCCATGAGAACATCCATGAGATTGTAATTCACATGAGTACATCCATGAGATTGTAATTCATATCACCATATTTGCCCAGATAGTCCATTTCAGGGTGTTTTCTCTGTCAGCATTTGCAGCTCAGTTATTGAGAGTTATTTATTTATTTTTATTATTTTCTTAGACAAAGTCTCACTGTGTCGCCCAGACTGGAGTGCAATGGCATGATCTCGGCTCACTGCAACCTCTGCCTCCCAGATTCAAGTGATTCTCTTGCCTCAGCCTCCCGAGTAACTGGAATTACAGGCATGTGCCACCATACCTGGCTAATTTTTTATATTTTTGGTAGAGACAGGGTTTCACCATGTTGGCCAGGCGAGTCTCAAACTCCTGACCTCAAGTGATGTACCTGTGTTGGCCTCCCAAAGTGCTGGGATTACAGGTGTGAGCCACTGTGCCTGGCCGAGAGTTTTAATTACCCCACCTCCATGCTGGTTTCAGTAGAGTGTTGCTTTTTGTTTTATAACCATTTAGATCTACTTTAATGTAAATGAAGATGGGTATAACACAAGGAAAATGCTGTTCATTAATCTAGGGAAGTTTGACATTCTATTATTTTGTTTAATATCTTGCCAATTTTTATTTAATGTTTAATATGCTTCAGGCACTGTTCTAAATGCTTGAGATATGTTGATGAATAAACTAAGATCTCTACCCTTACGAAGCTTGAAGCTTATAAGGAATTTACATAGAAATACACCAATAGATACAATATGTAAATTTTAAATTATATAATATTTTAGAAGGTGGAAAAAGGTAAAAGCAGGATAAGGGGATTGGGCGTACTGGTATAGGGGTGCAGGGTATTGGGATGCATTTTTAAGGAGGCCTCATCAAGGAGGTATATTTGACGATGTGAAGGAATTTCCCATTTGGGAACTACGGAAAGAGCCAGGCAAGGGAACAGTTAGGGTAAAGACCCTGAGGCAGGAGCCTCCTTGTATGTTCGAGTATAGTACACAAGGTGGCAAGAGGAATAAGAGATAAATTGGGGAAGGGAGTGGATCAGATTCCATGGGAGCTTATAGATTTTTAAAAAGACTCTAGTTTTTACACTGGTCCTCACAAGAGGTTTTACAGTATTTTGAAAGAGGAGTGCCATTACCTGACTTGTATTTTACAAGGATTTAAGTGTCTGGTGTGTTGAGAATTGACTGGGGTCATGGGGTCAGGGGGTACAGGGCAAGGCAAAACAAGCATCAAAACAGGCCACTGCAGCGTTGTAGGTATCAGATGATGGTGGCTCAGACCAAGGTGGTAGCTGTGGAGGTGGTGAGAAGTGGTCAGATTCCAGATAAGTTGTAAAGGTAGAGTCAGTGGGACTTTGAAGTAGATTGGTGTGAACCTTTTCTAGAAGTTTCCTCCTTGGTGAATCAGAAGAATGCTTGAGAGAAATTTGAATTGGTACTGCATTTAATGTTTGGGAATGTGTTCTTTTTTTTTTTTTTGTGACATGTCACTGTAGTTTTTAGTAAAAGCTTGTGCTAAAATGATTTCAAAAGCAATTATATTTTGTGTGATGATGACCTATACAATAATTATTTAAATTAAGGAAAGGGTAGATATTTAGTATACTTATTCATAAGATGATGTCCAAATATTTGCCTTCCCATGAATATTTTACAATGCCTGAAGTATTTAAAAACTTGTGTAGTTGACAGTAGCAAATTGATTTTACTTAGAATCAAACCTTTGAATGATTAAAAAAATATAAGATAAAGCTTAATATTTTGTAAAATGCAACTCACTGATTCCAGATATTGGAATTGAACCCAAAGTGACCAGTGGGCCTGTTGAGAATACTAGATTCAACTCCAAACTTTTGTCTTGATCATTTAGTTTACTACTTCAGCTTCTCTTTTACTTCTCATCAAATGATTTCTTTTATCAGTTTTTTTTCCTAGAAGGGGGAACTGCTAAAAATGCCATCAGGACAGATATGCATCCAAGTTCCTATTTCAGTTATCCTAACATTTGAACTTCATGTGACAGCTTTTCTTTGCAGTTGGTTTCATTTTGTACAAGAATAGGAAAAACTGTTTTCTTTTCTTTCTTTCTTTATTATTTTATTTTATTTTTTTATTTTTTATTTTTTTAAGATGAGGTTTCACCATGATGGCCAAGCTGGTCTTGAACTCCTGACCTCAGATGATCCACCCACCTCAGCCTCCCAAAGTGCTAGGATTACAGGCGTGAGCCACCGCGCCCGGCCCCGGAAAAACTGTTTTCTTAGCATCCTTTAGAATTTTACTTTTTATAGAATTTTGAAGAGGTAAATTTGTTCTCATTGGCCTTCTCTTTTCTCTATTTAAAATACTCCCTCCATCCCCATCTTTATGTATATTAGAAAACAGTTATTGAGGTTAACCATTTAGTTTCCCATTTGGATATGTTTCTGAGGTCTACTTAGATTTTGTTTGCCAGTCTGTCACTGGTCTTATTAACAGTCAAGTCTTACGACTTCTATATGTATTCCTTTTAGTTTTTAATGTCGGAATGATTTAAATAGCAGAAACCAAAAATAGGGAGTGGAAAACTAACAAGTAGGCACAAGTTCAACGAATCCATTATTAGCTCGCTGAGATCGTTAAGAAGTTGGCTATGGAAGAAGATGAAGTGATTAATTATTATGGTAACTACTTGCCATTACTATTTCCTTAGTCAGATTACTTAGGGAATGGGGTAATTATCCTATATGCTATTTGAAATTTTTGAAAACAAGTCTTTTATATTTAGCTGGCAGTATCCTTTTACCCACTTTGCTATGTTAAAACTTGTGATTTAGCACTTAAAAGTTACTTTTGAGACATACCATAGTACTTACCACAGTAAATATGATTCTGAGGGTCATGTATATATTTCTGTTGCATCAAGGCTTAGAAATGTAAGCATACATGTTTGGGCATTTCTAGATGTACCCACTAACTTTGGATGGATCCAGGTATTGTACTAGGCAATAATCCAAATCTGAAGACATTCACTTAATTGTAAACTGTTAATTTGATTAACCAATCTTGTGACATTAACTGAGAACCCTGTTGGTCCAAGACAAATCCTACTATTTTCTACTGAGAAGCCAACTGTTTTTACATCTTATTATGTTGAGTTTTGCCAATTTTTACTTATGAGTTATTGCAAATTGTATCGTAACATTCCAATTGTAAAATTTCTAATTTGGGGAAAAATTTTCAGGAATTTTTTAGCATGCAGTCATCTTCGAGGTAAATCTGGAATTATGTCCATATGCAATACTTTTTTTCAGTTGCCTTACCATATTACCTGTATTTATTGAATATGTAGGAGAAGATAACGCTGTGAATCTTAAAAATAATTTTTCTGTTGTTAGCTTTTTAGTTGGTGAAGGAGCCTACAGATGGGCAGTAGATCATGGAATACCCTCCTGCCCTCCTAACATCATGACCACAAGTGAGTAAAAACTTAAAAAATTTAAGCTATATGAGCATATATACCTAAAAGTATAACATTGCTTCTGTTATGACCCATGTAGTACAGATATTTATGGAAGAAAACTTGTATGTTGAAAGATTTGTAGTTAAAAGATACATAGAAAGTTACTGTATTTCATTTTAAACCACCTTTATATTCCTGACGTCTTCTCGCTGCTTCCCTATACTTTTATAGAAGAATTGCTAAATGATCCCTTTTAGAGATTATTTTAAATAATTACTACCAATAAAACCATAATACCACCCTTCAGTGAAAGAGAGATGGAGAGAGAGAAAGAGAAGAAAATATAAGTCAATATTTAGCAATCCTTGAGCTGAGGGAAGGACTTTTTAGATACAAGTGCAAGGGAAGGAAAAACAAAGGTGTGACTACATAAGAGTTAAATTGAAAAATAGTTACCACAAATATGACAAAGGGATAAATGTGCTTAATCTGTGAAGAAATTTACCAAATTAAAAACAGCACGTATACAAGTAATTGTCTCATAGAAAAATGATTAAAAATCACAAGTAGATAATATAACTAATAGGCACATTCAAATTAAAATGAGTACATGTTAAATTTATTCCCTTTTAACTTTTGAAATATTTAAAACATATTACTCCTGGTAAGTATTTGCTTAAATAATCATAATACGTTGTAGGTATGAATGTAAATTGGCAGAAATTTTAGCTGGCAACTAAGTAGTATAGATAAAAAGTGTTAAAAGCCTTGTTCTGCTTCTAGGAACCTGTCATTGGAGATATACACAAAGATTTATATAGAAAGGTACTCAAGTGAGCATTGTTAAGGATATACAAAATTTTGAGAAAATCGTATACCCAACACAGAGGAATATGAGTAAATAAATAATCATATATTCTTATTGAAATGTTATGAAGTAACTAGAAATTGTTGTGAAGACTAATCTCTGATAAGGATTAAATCTAATGACTTTGAAAAAAATGAAAAACGAAGTTATAAATATGTATAGGTTTGTCTATATTACATACCTATTTAGAAAATAAATATTTGCATAAAATGAGAAATATTAAAAACATACCCTAATTATTTTTTAAATAAAAGTTTTATTTTTATCACTGAAACCTAAGAATATAATTTAAATAATCAAATGAAAAAATGAGGACTAACTCCAAGGAAACTCAGTTAGTTAAATACGGTATAATTAGCCAGGTGTGGTCGTGCACTCTTAAACTCTCAGCTTCTTGGGAGGCTAAGGCAGGAGAATCCTTTGAGCTTAGAAGTTTGAGGCTGTGGTGGGCTATGATTGCACCTGTGTACTCCAGTTTATGTGACAGAGCAACACCTTGTCTCTAAAAAAATTTATATTCAGAATGAATATTCATGTAGTGCTGAAAGAGGGAAGAGAAATATGTGTGTAGCAGTAGGGCTGGCATATGAGGGTTTTCAATTCTTATGATTGCTGTCACTAATTATGTCTTACAGTCTTTCCAGTGGAACTTATTTTATAGCCCTTAGGCAAACAAATTAGGTCATCTGTGAGTTCCCTTTTTTCCCCTTGGAGATATGCCACCTGGCACCTTCCAATCTAGAGTCTTACTAGACCTGCTTCGCGGCTGCCATCCTGGACTGCGCCTTGCTTCATCTTGTGATCTCCTTTGCCTCTCTCCAATATCAGGTTCTCTGTTTCCTGGATCTCATGTGTTTTTCTTTCTTGTTTAATTCCTTATTCAGTACATGTGAGACTGAAAATCATTTTCCCTTAGGTTTTTGAGGAAATTCTTCTCTTATCATCTGGTTTCCAGTCTTGCTATTATGCAAGACTCACAAATGTTGTGGTGTATTTTTTTTCTCTTTGAAAGGAAGCTCTTAATTCCCATTTTGATTATCACAATGAAGCATCTTGCTTGGGCAATTTTTTTTTTTTTTATTCTTTATGTTGAATACTCATTTTGTACATTCAGTCTGGACATTTGTATGCTTCAGATTTGGAGAAATTAAAAGAAAATTTTGGGGTAATTCTTTTCTTCATATTTTCTATATTTTATTTTCCTAATACCTATTTTTTAAAGACTTTTAAGTTTAGGGGTACATTTCAGGTTTGTTATATAGGTAAACTCATGTCACAGGAATTTGTTGTACAGACTGTTTAGTCACCCAGGTAGTAAGCCAAGTACCCTTTAGTTGTTTTTCCTGATCCTCTCCCTGTCCCACCCTTCACCCTCAGTTAGACCCCACTGTCTTTTGTTCCCCTGTATGTGTCCATGTGTTCCCATCATTTACCTCCCACTTACAAGTGATAACATATGTTATTTGGTTTTATGTTCCTGTGTTAGAGTGGTAAGGATAATGGCCTCCATCTCCATCCATTCTTCTGCTAAAGATATGATCTCATTCTTTTTTATGGCTGCATAGTATTCCATGGTGTATATATACCATTTTCTTTATCCAGTCCACCATTGATGGGTATTTAGATTGATTCCATGTCTTTGCTACTATGAATAGTGCTGCAGTGAACAAACGCATGTATGTGTCTTTATGACAGAACAACTTGTATTCCTTTGGGTATATACTCAGTAATGGGATTGTTAGGTCAAATGGTAGCTCTGTTTTTAGCTCTTTGATGAATTACCACACTGCTTTCTACAATGGCTGAATTAATTTACACTCCTACAAGCAGTGTATAAGCATTCCTTTTTCTCCACAACCTCACCAGCGTCTGTTATCTTTTGACTTTTTAGTAGCCATTCTGAGTGGTGTGAGTTATTATCTCATTGTGGTTTTGATTTGCGGCTCTCTAATGATCAGTGATGTTATCTTCTTTTCCACCTTAACCCCTGACAGCCACTAATATATTTTCCATGTGTATAATTTTGTCATTTCTTTCTTTTTTTTTTTTTTTTCGAGACGAAGTCTTGCTCTGTTGCCCAGGGTGGAGTGCAATGGCATGATCTCAGCTCACTACAACCTCAGCCCCCTAGGTTCAAGCAATTCTCCTGCCTCAGCCTCCCGAGTAGCTGGGATGATAGGCACTTGCCACCACGCCCAGCTAATTTTTATATTTTTAGTAGTGGCAGCGTTTCACTATGTTGGCCAAGCTGGTCTCCAACTCCTGCTCTCAGGTGATCTGCCAACCTCAGCCTCCCAAAGTGCTGAGATTACAGGTATGAGCCACAGTGCCCAGCCAATTTTTTTGTTTCAAGAATGTAATATAAATGGTATCATACAGGCTGTAACCTTTTGGTATTTGCTCTTTTTTAAAATTTTTATTTTCCTCCTCACTATAACTCTGGAGATAACAACCAGGTTGTGTTTCTCAATAGTTTTTTTTTTTTGTTTTTATTCCTGAATGTTGCATGGTATGGAGGTACTACCACTAAGTTTAGCCATTTACCCATTTATGTCTGGGTTGTTTCCAATTTTTGGCTATTTTGTGTAAAGCTTCTGTAAACATTCTTGTACTTTTTCTGTAGTTCCTTTTAAAATTGTGGTAAAATACACATAACATAAAGTTTACCATCTTAAACATTTTTAATGGTATAATTCAGTAGCTTTAAACATTTTCTTTTTTTTTTTTTTTCTTCTTGAGATGGAGTCTCACTCTATCACCCAGGCTGGAGTGCAGTGGTGCGATCTCAGCTCCCTGCAACCTCTGCCTCCTGGGTTCAAGTGATTCTCGTGCCTCAGCCTCCCGAGTAGCTGGGATTATGGGCACGCACCACCACACCCAGCTAATTTTTGTATTTTCAGTAGAGGACGGGGTTTTACCATGTTCACCAGGATGGTCCCAATCTCCTGACCTCGTGATCCACCCGCCTTGGCCTCCCAAAGTGCTAGGATCACAGGCGTGAGCCACTGCTCCTGGCCGCTTTAAATATTTTCTTATTGTGGAACTAACCATCATCTGTAGAACCCTCTTCATCTCATAACACCAAAACTGTACCCATTAAACAGTAACTCCCCATGTCCCTTCCATCTAGGCCCTGGCTAGTTCATTTTTGTCTTTGTGTATTCTGCTTTTATAAGTGGAATCTTAGAATACTTGTCCTTTTGTAATTGGCTTATTTCACTTAGCATGACTTCTTCAAGGTTCATCCATGTTGTAGCATGTGTCAGAATTTCTTTTTAAGGTTGAATCTTATTTCATTGTATGTATATACCACATTTCGTTTACTCATCCATTGACGACTACTTGGGTTACGTCCCCCTTTTGGCTATCATGCATAATGCTGCTGTGAACATGGCTATACAAATATCTGTTTGAGTCCCTGCTATCATTTTTTTCTGAGTACCCAGAAATGGAATTGCTGGATCACATGGTTATTCTGTTTTTAATTTTTTGAGAAGCTACCATGTTGTCTGTTTTCCACAGTGGCTGCACCATTTCACATTCTGTCAGCAGTGCACCAGAGTTCCAGTTTCTCCACATTCTTACCAATACTTGTTCTTTCCTTTTCTTTTTTAAAAATAGTTGGCATCCTAATGGGTGTGAGTTGGTATTTCATTGTGATTTTGATTTGCATTTCCGTGATTATGCTGTTGAAGTGTTTATTCTTGTGCATATTGGCCGTTTTTATATGTTGCTTAGAGACATGTGTATCCTAGTTCTTTGCCTATTTTTCTATCAAGTTGTTTTTCTTGTTAAGATATAGGAATTCTTCGTATGTTCTGGATATTAACACTTATCAGATATGACTTGCAAATATCTTATCTCATTCTGTCAGTTGCCTTTTCACTACATTGATTGTTGTTCACTCCATTGATAGTGTCTTTTAAGTTTTTATCTATTTTTTTTCCTTTTATTATCTCTGTTTTGGTGTTATATCCAACCTTTCCCTCTATGTTGTTTTCTCAGAGATTTATAGTTTTAGCTCTTACATTTAGGTCTTTGATCCATTTTGAATTAATTTTTGTATATGGTATAAAGTAGGGGTCTAACTACATTCTTTTGCATGTGGCTATGTAGTCTTTCAAACACAGTTTGTTGAAGACTATTG